AGCCTGAGCTACAGTTCAGGAGAGCAGACTCATGGCCTCCACACTGGAACTCTTTGGTCGACATTGGACCCTCCTTTTCTCCATAGGGCACCCCCTGGAGGACTGAAGGAGCCCCACAGTCAAGATCCCTGCACACCACCTCTGCATCCTGCTGGTCAAAGTCAGCCTCACACACTGAGAACCACGATGGGTTAGACTCGTCAGACTTCACCTCCAGTCTGCCTGAGCACAGACTAGTTCCATCCAGCAGCCTGACAGAGTCTGGAGAGGACAGAAGATAAAACAGAGAGAAGGGAAAGACACATAATAAAAGGTGTCATGAAACAATATTTCAATGATTCAAACTGGACTCAGTTCCAACACGAGTTCCTCATTAACAACAGAAAACATCTTTTATAACAACACAGACTGCTATTTTACCATCACATCGACGTATTGCACTTTAACAAGTGTATCCATTTGTGATCACTTTCACTATGTATTCAAACAATAACACATGATCATCTAACATCATTAAGCGTCTTTGAGTTGTGAAAAGCGCTATATAAATAAAATGCATTATTATTATTATCTGCAGATTTCTCTGTGCTCCTTCTGTTCAGGTATTCCAACATCTCTGCTTTCACACAGAGAATTTATGTGTTTAGTATAAGTTGTTCTTGGCAAGTGTGGCATCGTCGTTGAATTCAAGCTGTTGTTTGTAAATTGTTGTTGTGTGTTCCATAAGATTGTGAATTGTAGCATCATTTATTGTATTGTGAAAAAAATATATATATATAAAATGTAATTGATGTTGTCACAGATGGGTTTACCTGAGCAGGTTAGATTCAGGGTGTAGATAGAGGAATATGCTTCAGCACACTCCCTCAGAGAAGATCCAGACTGAACACAGTCAACATTGATCCTCCACACAAGTGTCTCTGAGAAGTCTGTGCTCTCTCCTACAGAAACAGCAGAGCCACAGTTCAGATCCCTGCAGGCAACTTGTGCTTCTTCCAGGGTCCTGAAAGAGTTATAGCCCCATACTGGCCTCCATTCTCCCTGATGTTTCACCTCCAGTGTTCCTGCACAGCGACTGTCTCCTCCCACCAACCTGACACCAGAGTCTGAACAGAAACAAGAGAGTCATGTAATGTAATTGCTTTTAGCAGATTTGAATAATTAGGGCTTCGGAGTCGGAGGGAATGATTAAATTATTAATACAAAAACATAAATTAAATATAAATTACTCTTAATGATGTATCATAATAACACATTGATTGATACAAAAGGACCTGACATGGACTCATCACACAAACAACACCACTGTATAATCAGTAATAGTGGTACTGATGAAAAGGTGCTGATGGGTTGTTGTTTACATTTGAAATATATCCTGTTTCACTTTTGTTCATTAACACGGTGAAATGATAAAGGATAAAACTAGGAACAGCACTTAGCGGGGAAGTCTTTCAACTACATCATGACATATGTTAAAGGGTTGTTTTTTAGAATTAAACTACTTTATTTGGTATATTAAACTGAGCAGTTTACCTTTTGAGCTGTGTCCTTCTTGGAGTCCTGAGAAGAAAATCAGAAGATACGGTCATTTTGTACAGAGTTTTCTATTATGTCAGAAACATGTCTGTGAACTCACTTTGGAGTCCTTTCCACAGGACTAAAGCTGAGAATAAAATGTTAATACAGAAAACACAAATCAGTTTATTTAGAGTTAAAGTAACAGATAAATTCAGGAAATATGCTTCTTCAATTTAAATGATTAATGGTGCAACATCATCACACTTAAAATATTTTACAGCAACAATAAAATAGCGATCGTAAATTGTTGTCAGAAAAAATATGTTAATAGTTCATTGTGGAATTAGGAGGAACCACAACAGAGAAAATAGATGCTGCCAGTTCCCACCTACTGCTGTCACCTGAATGCCTCACTCTCTTATCACTAACTACAGACATTATCTCACTAACCCAAACCTATACAAGAACTAGCACGGCAGTGGCGAGCCGTGACTTTTATACCTAGGCCCTCTGAACCCTTCCCTCGAGTTATTACGTCACAGCGTATACTTCAGCGGAATATCAAAACAACGGCCCGGGGTGCAAAACGCATCAATGAAAGCGACCCTCTACCACACAAAACAACACCTGTAAATAACCCTATTTGTGTTCTTTGAAATTGAAAAGGATATTGCATTGTGTTTGTTACTTTCGTTGCAGTTGTATGTCTTAAGTGTAATTTGGCATGCTTTTATTTTGAAGGCGAGTTAACGCTGTTGACAGGAAGTTGTTGTTGCTATAGAAACAAGAAAAGTTTCACAGCGGGCGGAACTTGTCATAAAGTCCGTGATAATAACACCCACCCATTTAGAGGGAAGATATGATTGGTCAATTGTACTGCCATTTGACATTACTCTCTTGTTCAGTTACTATAGCGGCCCTCTGTGAATTTATAGNNNTATATGGCGCTGGCTGGGCCCTCTGTGAATTCATAGCTGGACCGCCTGGACGTCCAACAGCTCCTCTCTTCACAGTAACTCGCAGAGACGAGCTTCTTTCATTTAACCCTTCACATTCCAACAGAAACTGAATAGGCAGATTCAAAGGATTTATTTCTTTGGAAATATTATTTTAAATACAATTAAATCAAGCTATTTTGGTAAAACTAATGAAAAATATAACTAAAAAAATAACTAAAAAAAAATATTTAAAAAGATATATATATTTTTTTAATGTTTTTAAATATTATTTTGTAGAATATCTTAGGCCCTCACAGAGGGCCTAGAGGGCCCTCACGGCTCGCCACTGCAGCACGGTCACAAAACTTCTCGTAACGACCACTAAACTAAAGGCTTATGAAATGTAGTCGTCTCATTTAGACACTTGTTAGCAACCACCATTTTTAAACTGACGTATTTTATTCATAGCACAAAACATTAAAATCCCTCCCCTTATTTCAGGATATCAACCAAAAACACATTCAGAAATCTGCTTGGATCCTTTCAAAATGAAGAAATAATCCAAACTTTGTTGAGTTTATACTGTGAGAGAAAGGAAATAAGGTAAATAGTTTCAGTTTTAAGAATCAGCACTTTCTGACCCGATGTCTCCTGCTCCTCTCTTCCTCTATCTTTGATATTTTATAAGAAAAGAGTTCTGTTTGCAGAGCATAGGCTCCCACTGATGTTGTGTGTATTTGTGTCTTCAATAGTCTGTGTGTGTGTGTGTGTGTGTGTGTGTGTGTGTGTGTGTGTGTGTGTGTGTGTGTGTGTGCGTGTGTGTGTGTGTGTGTGTGTTTGCACATTTGTGAGTGTGTGTTTTGTATTTGCATGTGTTTGTGCGTGTCTGTGTGTTGTTAAAATGTGTTTTTGTGAGTGCATGCGTGTGTTTGTTAGTACGTATGTGTGTATGTGAGAGTTTGTATGTGTGTGAGGGTGTGTCCTTGTGTGGAAGTGTGTGATTTTGTGATTCAGAATCAGAATATCTTTATTCGTCCCAAAGAGGGGAAATTTACAAATTTCAAAAATACTTTGTGGGTTTGTGTAAGACAGGGAGTAAAGTGACCCCGCGTTTGCCTAAAAACCAGAAAGTGTAAATATATGGACCTCATGTATATCCAAAAACCAGATGGTGTGTGTATGTATCCGCTGTCATGTCCAAGAAACTTATAGTGAAAGTTTATTCTTTATGTTAGAGTTGTCATGTCCCTTTGTCTTGTGCTTTATGTCTATACCCTTAATTATTTCTTCCTCTCATTTCAGGCCTCCACGCTCCCCGCCCCTTTTCTGTCTCCTGCGTCCTTGATTATTTTCCCCGCCCTGATTGTTTCCAACTGTGTCCCCTTTACCTGTGTATATATTGTGTTAGCTCCCTCCTGTTAATTGTCAGTTCGTTGTCTCTCGAAGACCACGTATCGGCTTACCTCACGGACCTTTCACGGACCTTTCACGGACCTATGCTATAGATCGCATTCTAGTTTTCCTCGAAAGAGTGTTTTGTTTTCCTTATTTTATTACTGTGCAAAATTCCAGTAAAGTCTTTATTTTGAAACGCTATCTGAGTCTGAGTTTTGAGTCGTGCAATTGAGTTCATGCCTCAGTGTTCTCCCCTTGACATCCGCCCCCTATTGGTCAGTAGCTGTTGTTGATGATCTCTGTGTTTACTCCAGAATCCTGCCTAAGTGTGTTACTGAGTGAAAAATGTTGTGACTGCCTGTTGAAGTGTTTGTTTGTGAAAACTTGTGTATGTAAGATAGTCTGTAAAGTACCTCAGTGCCTCAGTGTGTGTGTGTGTGTGTGTGTGTGTGTGTGTGTGTGTGTGTGTGTGTGTGTGTGTGTGTGTGTGCACTTGTGTGTGTGCACTTGTGTGTGTGCACTTGTGTGTAACTTTGTAAATGTTGCACACACAACATGTGGTCTTAATGTGGTCTTATATAGAGAGAATTATAAAAAACATGTTAACATGCAAATTCCAACCACACACACATCACGAGTGATAAGGACATGCAACATATTGAACAACCGCATCACACTGTTGCCCCTTCCTCACCAAAGCAGTTGCCGGGCCAGTTCGGAGCTACTGCCCGATTAAGCACCAGTTCTTCCTGTTTCCACCGCAGTGAGGCCGGCTCTTGGCCCCGAAAACCGGTTCTTATCTTGCCCCACTTGACTGCCCGTCAACAACAAAATATGTCACGCTTGGCTGGTGCAAGATTAACCTGAGCAATAACAGTTCATGGCGAGTACGGCAAATAATTTTTTTTACAAGCAGTAGTGCTAAACAAAGTGACTAGAACGCGACCACACACTTACATAAAGTGAGGCAACACTAACCATGCTCAGCGTGATGCTGTTTGTTTTTACCTTACTTTTAATGGCCATCCATTCGCTGTTATTTCAAAGACAAGCACTCTGCCTCATAAGTTTTCCTGTTGTTTTTTATTATAGCAGCTATCATGTGAAATCAGTACATGGGCTACACAATTAAAATCATAAAGAAAAATACGCTGGTTAAATTTGCCTGTAGAAAACTACTAATGCCACAATATGATATCAAACTTTCAAGATAATCAGATTAGCTTCGGTTGCTATGACATAATCACCTGTCTAATACCAGAGAAACTTTAATAATGGCGTTGTGATGCCAAACAGCGTAAATTCAGTCCGAAACACATTCACTTATGGAGTTGGGGGATATGCATTAGTTGATTGTGCGACAGACTGAATTACTGCTCTCCAGTGGAGTTAACGGTAGACTAAACTCCGGTGGACGAGCAGCACTGCAGCGGTTGGTAAATGCAGCTGAACCACATTAACAAACAATGAACCAGAGCTTCGTACAATTAATTGCAACATGAACATCGACCCGACGCAGTGCCCCATGGTTGTTGTTGTTGTGACAGGCGTTGCTGAGAAAATCAGTTGCATAAACGGTAATGTCATGATGCAGCACCAGTGGGGCTCTAGGCGGTGGAAACACAACTGGGGCAGTGGTAGAGCACAACTCTAAGACACACTATCTAAAGACATACTCACTGTGGAGGCGTTAACGTGGCCTCCAGTGAAAAAAAAACGTAATTCCTCAATATGACTGAATATAAACACACCGATGTGAAGTTCAATAAAATATATATTTACCCGAAGAAAAATAGAATAGAAGTGGATTTCTACCTGAGCCCCACAGCAGCAGCAGCAGCAGCAGCAGCTGATCCATGTCAGTCGGTCTGTTTGTCTGTCTGTCTGTCCCTCTATTCTGAGCATCTCATGTTCTGTCTTCGCTTTATATCAGCGTACAGGGAGAGGTGAAGCTTCATTGGAAAATAACTAATCGTGTATAAGTCGTTTTCATATCAGATCGTATATATATCTGATTGTTATATATCTGATCTTATATCGTATTTATATCTGATCGTAACATCACGCCACTCTTCTCCCACACAGTGTTTCCACATTGAGGGGAATTATTAAACGCTAGTCATTAGGAGTAAAACAAGTGGACTTAAATGTGCAATTTCAAATAATATTCTCTTTCACATGCCTTCAGAATGACTCAAATTGGATTTTGCTGCCGAATATTTTTGAGCAAGCAACTCCAGAACAAAGAAAATAACTCAACAAAGACAGGTGCAAAAAACGAAGTCTTTACTTACTAAAGTATAACAAGGATACAAAAATCCAGGCAGGCTAAGTAAAGGATAGGTTAAACCAGAGTCCAGCGTAAAAACAGGCTAAGGTGAAACAGTCTTGGTTGGGACTATGGAGTGGTTTTTTAATCTTCATTAATATAGACTAAAAATGATAGGTAGCTTGATTCAAGGTGTGAAATCTCAGGAATCAACCTTGTTTCAGACAACAACAAAAAAAACGATATGTGAAGTCCGCTACAGTGAGTCTCTTTCACTTGATAAGGTTTTTCTGTCGGCCATGTTTTCGGTGGATCATGCTGCCATCCAGTCCCTCCCTGTTTGCGCTGACACACACATCTGTGTGATCATTAATTGTGTTCCTGCCACGCAGTAGTATAGATCTATAGAAGGAAAATTTGTTTGGACATTTCAATTTTCAGTTTTTCCACTCCCTTTATCAAATTGGTACATTAAAGAGGATTTAACAATATATATTAAACTTTAGTTCACTTCCCTGAACTGCATTTCTGAGAAACTGACCATCAAGATGCTGATGGATTACAGATTACAGAATCCGTTTCCTGTTTCCATGACGACCCAAGAGTGTGCGATCAGATTAAAGGTGTCTGTGTGAGCAACAAACTCTGTTGGGGGGTGGGGGGATCCAAGCAATACATCGATGTGCACTACAACAGGTAAACAAGGACTGTATTCACAGAGGTCCAAAAAGCACAAGTTTGCATTTATGCAATAACCATTATGTGGTCTATAAACCACATGTCACATTCAATTTCCTGTTTTTGGTCTCTACCTACCCCTCAAGGAAATAGTTAGCTTTTTAAATGTTAAATGTTTTACCTTGTTACCAGCTAACTGTGTGTCTGCCAGAACATTGATATCTTGGTGATAATTATTTGCAGGGTTATTCTAGCGACCTCTTTTACATTGCCAACACTTAAATAAAAGTATGAATCAAGTTTCAGGTCTCAAACATACAGCTGTTTCATGTATAAACAACTAAGTTTAGGTGCACCTTAAATTCAAATTAAATATTTGTCACCAACAAAAATTCAAAATATCACCTATGATGCTTTCTTATTTACTATTTTGTAAAGGATTTATGTCTATGTCTATTACTTTTCAAATACAGTATCAATTCTATACTACAAAGAAGAAAAAGAGATGAGATAAAGATACACAGAGCAGGAAAAGGAAAAGTGGAGGAAGACAGAAGAGTCATCCTCAGCCTCGGGCATTATCTGCCCAGATAATGATGGGGTGAGGATCTGTGCCAGTGGACCTAGTTGACTCTCATGGACCAGCTGGACAGTCAAAAGGACAAACAGACAGCCACTTCATCCAGCCCTGCTTATTATGAATGTATTTAGTCATCCAATTCTTCCCATCTTTGCTCTTGAACTAACAGGGAGAAACACAGAGCAAGAGCTATCTCTTGTGAGAGTGGAGTAAGAATCTCGCAGAAAAATCTGTCCGAAAAAAAAAGAGATGGACACGCAGCCTGATTGACGATGACTTACTCTTATCCCTCAGTCATGTCACCATTAGAGGAAAAAACAGGGCAGGATGAATGTGACTATTATTTTTAACCGTGATAGGATATGATCCTAATCTAATCTCCTGATAGCCAGAGGTAAGAGAACAAGTTGAGACATGTGACGTAATACATCGTTGCCCACACCTTTAATAAATCCTCCTAAACAGCGCCAGAAACATGGTCATTTTTGTTTCAACTTAAATGCATATCAGCATCATAGCTCTTTTTTGATTACCTCAACCAAGGAATTATTTGGTAGGCAGTTTATTGGAGGGTTTGGTTGTTTGTTGGCTATAGGGAAAACTTCTGCTTTCGACAGCACGGCATTATGGGTAATTTGTAAAGTTTTGCTGTCAGTGTATTCATGCGCCAATGATCAGCGGGCAGGTTGCTGTGTTTCTTTTAAACCTGGCAAACCAGACAAAAGGCAATCATCCCCCTGTGTCTAAAAGTGACCAAACATTTAAAGAGAGTACTTTTTTATTATTAATTTTGATTTTCATATTTTACATACTTTATTCAATAGACATCCACTTTTCACAATTCTCTTCTGTAACTTGCATGTTGTCAGAATGTTGATGTGTGGACCTGAATACAGACACAGACTCAAGAGTGAGATGAATGAAGGGAATTAAGGAATGAAGGTGGAATGAGCCGGGAGATGGCTGGCTAAGGCAGAGGGCACAAGGGCGTTGAGATCTGGCTGCACCAGCTGGAGCTTTGTGACTGAAAATGAGGGAGAATGGCATAAGCTGGCTGGTGGTAGCAGGTGGTGAACTGTTTGGGGAACAGGTTGGCAGGTAATGATTTTGAAGCAAATAGAAAGCCTTTACAATATAAACAGAAGGATACCAAACACGTGGCCCTGGAGAACACCTTGAGAGAGTGGCAGTGGCAGAAGGACAGTGGTGAATGCCTATAAACATAATAGAAAGACAAGAATGGCGTTGATGATGTGTCAAAAAGTGTTTCACCAACCATAATAGGCTTGGAAATTCTTGGCCTGATCCAATTGGCTTACTTCAGTCCAAATCTAGCCTGAGAGCTGCACCATGCAAATTCTATCCCAAATTGGTTTATGTCCCAGAAAAGATTTGGCATTTTCTGATCCCTCATCTATAAATAAATGTTTTTTTTCAATAAGTTGTATGATTAGATTCTTGAAATAGGGTTATAAAAAGCTTTATTAATGTTCCTGTTTTGTTGTAAAGCAGTAACTGTTGGATGATAAGCAAGAGCTGGACGAACTAACTTAAGTGGTCCTCCCTACCAAATTTACAAAAAGGAAGCAACTTATAAATAAATAACACCGAAGACGCTAAAGGGCTAACAACCATTTCACATTACAGTCAATTACAGATTCTAAATAATCAATTTCCAATTGGTAATTATATACATTTCATTGTCAAGTGACAATGTATTCCGCTTCAAGTCTCCAATTCCCAACTGAAAATCAAACTGCTATCATGGAAACTCTAACCATTGAACGCTCTTTTCTTCCCAGTCCTTGTACTTTCTCGGCCCTTTATCCCCAACTGAAACTACTTTTAGCAGCTTTATTTTCTGTCTGAGTGATTCACATCCAGGCTCTTTGCCTTGCTCTCCAGTCTGTTTTATACCCCTTTTACCTTCTCCACTCCCTCTCCATAGTCCAGTTGCATTTCCCCTATCGCATTATCAAAACCATTTTGCCATTCAGAAGCTGCCTGCTGCTTCCTGAGTCTGCCTTTCATGGAAAAGTGCTCTCTCTGCCATGAATATGTAGTATTAATAGCACGCACCTAGCATCCAACTTCTACCGCAGTCTCACAAATGGAAATGTTTTCGAGAAGGTGTGCATCACATTCTCACTATAGGAGTCAAAAGACCCTATATGAATTTTCTTTCAGGCTACGGCTGAATTATTGATTACGTTAATCTAAAAGAGTGGCAATAGCGGCCCTTAAGGTTCCATTAGCCCTACTGTTCGATAATGACTTGTTCTTGTGCAATGCATTTAACTGGCTGTAATGACTCATCTAATGCTACACTCCCCATTAACTCTATTCAACATACATTTGCCTTCTTCCAACACAGAGGCATGATGACATAGCTCTTACAGTCTATTGCATGTTAGCTGTAATAGAAGATAAATGGTCTATGTCAGTTGTTTAAAGTGCAAACAGAACAGCCCTGACATATTAACACAATGTAAAAGTGCTTATTCAAACATCCATCTTGGACAACCATGCATCGAATTTTCCCACATCCTACCCTTTTCATCTCAATGGTGGTCCTTTCTTTACACGACACTTTCTTTCATTAATTCTATTTTTAAATGATCAGCAGGATATTCTCTAGCGACAGTGATATCCTCACACTTTAGCTGCTGTGATTTACAGTGGGTTCCTAATTAAATATGTCTCAGTGTGATCAGTGATCTCTGGCTCTAGAAGAAGTGTCAGCATCTTAATGTTCTGTTATGTTTTGTAAGAAATGCTCAATTGGATTCTACCTGTTCCTATAATACCCTAATTATTTTTGCGTGGTGCATTTTAATCAACCGAATTCTCGTTTGACATGCTTTTATACATTGTTCGACTGTCAACCTGTCCTGATGATTTTCTTGTATATTACTGAATGTAAAAACACAAAACTTAATTTCCTCCCGGGATAAATATGTTATCTGTAGTGTTACTGATTTTAATGCTTTTTACAGCAGTATGCAGCAGTGTGTCAGTGCATGATGGTCAGAGGAGCTGTGTGCCACGAGTTTGCTCAGCAGGATCTCTTCAGCCTTATTGTTGGACCGCTGAATGTGACTATCACAGTGGCCGGTTATTCTTACGGCCTGCAATGAGCTCAAATTGAAAAGAGAAAAGGGCAGCAGATGTGGTGTCAAAATGTGCCGCGGTTCCAACTCAATCTCCAATTCAAATCCCTCAGTTCCAGCCATGGCCTGTTTGGTTACTAAGCAGCTTTTTGAGAGCCAAGACAGACCAGCATTGTATGAAGAAAACCATAAAAGCCAAAGAAAACTCATTAAAGATGACT